AACATCAACCTTTCAGGTTACATAGTCATAATTAGTCATTTCATAACTAGTTTATTTATATAAATGTACATATTTCTTAGCTATGTTTATTAATAAAACATAGAGTTCTTAAAAATAAATGAGGGTTCAGCTTTTGACTGGGGGAAACCATGGAACTGAAATTCAGATTGTTAGGCAGAATAGGAACTACAGAGGAAACTTAATGCAAAGAATAGTCAAAAGATAAGATCTAAGTTGTGCTTTATTTTATAGAACTTATATTTCTGAGAACCATTTAAATTGTAAGTGGGAAATATAATGCCAATATAAGAAGTTTCATGGGTGTAAATTATTGTTAGATTTAACCAATTTCTGTAGAAATGTGATAAGTTTTAATATTAGTGTATCTCCTGGCTTCTAGATAGGTAGGATACTTAGTGCTACATTTCATAATATCCAAGTCCACCACTTCTGAACAAAAGGGGGAAATGGGATAGAGTGGATAAAAGTTACCAGCAATCAGCTAATAAAAGCAGCGTTCTTTGAAAAAAGAGAATGTATTGACACCCAATGAACATTTTCAAATTTATTTCAGCAATGGCAAATAATGGAGTCACCATGCCATGACAAATATACTAAATTTTGTAACATGCTGTGTACCTGAAAATTTTGAAAGCATCTTTTTGAAAATACAATTTATAACAATAAATTTGACCAATCAGATGTGTCTATTTTCTGGTCTGTTAACATTTTCTATCTGTGTTTTGTATCTCTTATAAAAATTGCAATTATCTTGGTACCATATGAAGGGGAAGAGGTAGAAGGAAGAACAGTGATATCTTTGGACATGGTATAAAACTGCCTTCCAAATTTACATCTCTCTACCTATATCTAGTCCAGCTCTCAGATCTCATCAAAGAAACTTCTTTGTGCAGTAGATGGTGGTTAATACAGAAACTCACAACAGCTAAAGAACAGTGAAGAAGTGACTGTGCAGTACATAGCCACAATGAAGCATTTGTGTTACATCCCTCTCCAAGAGATTAACACTTAACTGTTCAGAAGGACTGTTACAAAACAGCATCTGTTAGACAAAAGAGAACTACTACACTTGTAAACTCATATCAGCTGTCATTGTCCTTACAAGAATAGCACAAGATCAGACCAAGTCACATTTTAGCATGGAGGAAGAAGGGCTTCATGATCCTCCTAACAGAAGAGTTTCTGGGAAAAGAATGTGTGACTCCTGGTAGTCAACAACACTCCAATGGATGGCCCCACACCCAGAGTATAAAATCAGCACAAACTGGAATTAATGAGTTATTAAATCTACAAAAATAAATAAAAAATAGGGTTTATAGAGATCTGGAAGGACCTAAGGGGAGAAGGTGGAAAGAATGTCATGAAAACAATTTGTATGTAATTCTCAAAAGAATTAATAAAATATTAATTTTAAAAAAGAAGGGAGGTTCATGGAAATTTACTATTTGCCTTGGTATGTATTTTCTATTAGAGTGAACCACAATAATAAAACAGTATTATTAAAGTTGACTAAACTAATTTTCCTGCATTCTGCTTATTTATACTTGCTATATGAGTCTCTGATTATTGCTTCTGCAACTGCAAACTCCACATATTTTCCATCCCCCACACTTAAACAAATAACTGTACATGGGTTAATCTCAGCTCTAGATAGACCTGTTTAAAAACCCACCAGCTGAGGAAGGAAGACTTCGTCCCTTCTGTGAACCATGGCATGGTCTGTTTCATAATCTGACCGGATCACATTTAGCCAGAACTACCATTATTGGGCCAAAACCATTAGGTCAAATCCGTTTTATTTTTCACTCTCTCTCTTTTCAATTTTTTTTTATTTTACCCACCAACCACCCTCTTCCCTCCCTTTCTACTGCTCCCACCACCACTTCCCCCCCAACCCACCCCCTATCCACTCCTCAGAAAAGGGAAGGCCTCCCATGGGGAGTCAACAAAGCCTGGCAAATTCAGTTGAGGCAGGACCAAGCCCCTCCCTACTGCATGGAGGCTGAACAGACATCCTACCCTATGGAATGGGCTTCTAAATGCCAGGTGCACACCAGTGATAGATCCTGGTCCATTTTATAATACTTCCTGCACCATTACACATCTTTGTTAGATAAGCTAGTTTAATAAACATTCAGTTTTGCTTCTTATTTGGACATTTCAAATAAAATTATGTGGTCTTATATACCAGCAAATATATAACCATAAGTTTCATAAAATTGTAAATTTATGGATGATATTTTGGGGATTTTCTTAAACACTATAGTTTGGAAATGGAAGTATATTTAATCTGAAAATCATTTACATAACAATTTTTTCTACATTCAACAGCATTGAAAATACGTACAAAATTTTATTTGTTTATCAGTTAATTATCACTGAAAATGATAATTGGTTTTCTTTTTAGCTCTTTTGCTACTTGGAAATGGATTTTTAAGTATTCTTTAATAGTATTTTTATTATTGTGATCACATTAAATAAAAATTCCTACCTTGACAAATGATAAACTTTCATAAAAAATATCTTTTGGTATCTTTTCTTTTATTCCAGTTGGCATGTGAAATTATTCTTTTCAAGACCATCACAAGTTATTTGAGATGGTGTTAATGAGAAAATATTAGAGTGTAATTTCGTGGGGAAGTCTGCTAGTTTATCCTACTAGAACATGTCATGTTTTACAAAGCTTTGTTTGCTCTATCATTATTTTAATCTTGGCCAAATTTAACATTAATTTTACATTTAAAATATAATGTTTTAATTTATCAGTTTTATAATTAATTTAACAAACAACCATGTAACAATGTTGAACTCAACGCGAAAGTTTTATAATCTCCTGGATAACTCAGATTTGCCTATTAGAGATGGTGGATGAAACCTTGATGCTCTTTTTAAACCCACCTTACAATAATTTTGAGGAATATCAAGGGCTAAAAACTGGTACTTGTTTCAAGAAAATGAAATATTTGCTCTTTAATTTTAAAAGTAACATTCTTTGACAATATTTTAAATTACTCACCTCATGTACTTATTCCACCTCCCTGAGAGACTGTTGATAACTAAAACTTGTTTGGACAGACGATGTCTTTATTGGTGTGGCAGATGATTCATTGTCTTTATTGGTACAAAAAACAGAGATCAGTTGCCTCTACTCCTCCAACAAAACCCTTCACAAATGTTAGTAATTAGCACCATTTTAGTTGAATTTGAAATTCCTGAAATTCCAGTCACTAGCAGATAATGGATTTAAAATATATGTAGCATAAAAATAATATTTCTACAGGTCACTGCAATATTCAAATACGGTAAGAAAATTAAAACATGTTATATTTTGTTTCTAAAACATAACTAGAACTGAGTATAAATGTCAGTCATAAGACTATCATTGTTCAAGCCTTCATGTTTAAGTTAATGTAACCCACTTCAAATTTGAATATTATTCTTTGACTCAAAGAATCCTTACTTGGTAAAATACTTGCCAGAAAAATTCTTAATTAGCCAGATAATTTTCACTGAGCACCAGTAAGCATTCGGTATTTAAGAATGTGGTGTTATGACGGATAGCACCACATTCCAAAATATATATTCTAACTACAACTGCCTCAGTGTACTTTTCAAAATAATTAATTCAACCACACTGCCTCTTCAGCATGCTTCAGAATTGCAGTATAATGTACAGAGAGCTCTCTTCCAGTAATTCTTGAATTTATCATGTTGATATTGTTCAGAATGCCTCAGTTTTCACATCCTCTATTCATTATGTATTAGATTTTATTCACATGTCTTCACAAATAGATATTAATCACTTACTATAAACCAAGGAAATGATGCTAGGAAGCACACTTATCTTATACAGCACTTTATACGTTCTTTACTTCCTGGAACTTACAAACCATTGTTTCTGAAAGTGCATTCAATGCATTTAAATGGGAATCAAAGCCTGCAGAACTTTGCAATATCCTTGGAGATGCACAGAAAATTACAAAGCAAGGTTTAGAGTTACTGCCTAATAATAGGATTTTCAACTATAAAATATACTAGAGTGAAAGAAAGTAAATATCTTTAGATTGCTTACCAAGGACATGTCTCAAGTTTTGTAGAAGGCAGTAATGAATATATGCAATTACTGTATGCCAACTCTGACCCTGACTACATTGTTTTTACGTGTACATGGGATTATTTTGCAGTGTCTCTGTAGTTAGGGAGTTACTCAGATTGTACATTAAATACTTCAGGTCACAAAGGTGAGACTGATTCAGTAGTATTTATCCATAGATAGATAGAAATATAGAAAGACAGATAGATAGATGATAGATGGATAGATAGATAGATAGATACATAGATACATAGATGATAGATAAGGCATGGTTTCTTGCAAAGGTTGTGTTTATGACAACCAGATGACTATGTTAAGAAGCTGAATAAGCATCATGTGGAAGAGATTCTGCTTAGCTATTACTCTAACGTTTCAATGGTACTGTTTAACTATTGTGCAATCTTCACTACAAAGCATGTATGCAATGCTGTAGGATAATGCTCTTTTAACTTGTAAAGATTTGTCACTCATATTGGTTTAATAAAGTGCTGATTGGCCAAGAGACAAGTAGGAAAGTATAGGCGTGCTGACCAGACAAGGAAGAAAGAGAAAATGCTCCACTAAGAAAAGGTGCCAAGTCACGTGGCTAACATAGATAAGAATTATGGGTTAATTTAAATTGTAAAAGTTAGTTAATAATAAGCCTGAACTAATAGGCCAAACAGTTTATAATTTATATAAGCCTCTGTGTGTTTGTTTGGAACTGAACATCTGTGGGTCCAGGTGGGACAAACTTCTATCTACAATAGTGTGCAATGAGAGTGAACGAATGAGCGATGATAGCTTAGTGAACTTCTCTCTTTAAAAAATAAAGAGAAGTAATGTTTTCCAGTGTGACTATGAGGACACTTCCTTGATTTTCTCCATGCTTTTTGTTTCTTTGTAGAACGATTCAATGTTTATCTTATGCCTACACCCAACCTGGATATTTATGGTGAATGCACAATGCAGATCACTCATGAGAATATCTATCTCTGGGATATCCACAATGCCAAGGTCAAGCTGGTGATGTGGCCTCTTAGCTCACTAAGAAGATATGGTCGGGATTCAACGTGGTTCACCTTTGAGTCAGGAAGGTAAGTTCCAGTTTCATGACAGAAATGCAGCTATGTGTCTAACAGAGTCCTTTGAGAAAATTTCTGGCCACCATTGCTAGATATAAGCATTACCTTTATAAAAGGTCAAAGCTACCAAAATACACATACCTACTGCTTCTGATTAATGATTTGAAAAATATTATTAATTATAACATTATAACAGGATAATTACCCCAGTCAAACTCATTGCAGTCTCAAACATGAATATCAAGCTATTATAATAATGTAAGGTATTAAAATGTTATAATAATAATTCTGACACATTTTCATGCAGTAATATTCCTATGCAATTAAATGTGTCCTTGGCTATATTGTTTTTGTGAGTTTATTAAAAGAAAATGATATTAAATGCTGTTTTTAAAAATTATATATTACATTTTAGGTTTCAGATAAGTTACACAACTTCTTCATCACATTTTGTACTGGTAACATTATTGAGTAATTTAATATTCAAAATGATTGAAGAAATTTTGTCATAGCCACAATTGTCATAAAACAAATAGGCTGACTTTTGCCTCACAGAATATGGTTGATAACCATACCTGCTTGAAGTGAATGGATTGTTCACAATTATTATGCATAGACATGATTATACATGAGCTTTGGACAATGAAATTAACATTTTTAATCTTCAGACCCCTTTGGGAGAATATGCACCTAACATGAGACTTAAGTTGGGGCATTGTTTTATCCACATCAGAATTGAAATCAAAGCCTCCTACTTATGTGAGTTCTCTAGCCAGTGAGCTACATCTTAAGCCTAGATTTAAAATTTCTATGTGACAAAGTGACAATTAAAGCATCAGTCTTCCCAGGTGGGAACTTATTTAACACACTGTTCAAATGAATTCATGGTCTTTTTTTTTCATGTTTTTTTTATTACTAAAAAATTTCTGCCTCCTCCCTAACTCCCATTTCCCTCCCCCTGTTCCCCACTCCCCTCCCCCACCCTCTCCAATCCAAAGAGCAGTCAGGGTTCCCTGCCCTGTGGGAAGTCCAAGGTACTCCCCACTCCATCCAGGTCCAGGAAGGTGCTCAACCAAACAGACTAGGCTCCCACAAAGCCAGTACATGCAGTAGGATCAAAACCAGTGCCATTGTCCTTGGCTTCTCAGTCAGCCCTCATTGTCCGTGAATTCATAGTCTTAAACAAAAATTATGACTGAGGTTCCAATGTATGCGACATATCAACTTTAATCCATAACTTTCTTCATATAAATGTTTAAATATTCATATATAGTTGGGTTCTAATAATGTTTGTCTTAGGTCACATGTCTCTTGAATTTTAAGAACAAAAATCCTTCAGCTGCAGTAATTTTCATAGAATGAAGTGCTTTTACACCAAGAAAATATTACATTATCATGCTAATTTCTCTGAAGAACCTTGAATCTTGTGTTTACTTAGTAACTCAGAGCTCATCCAACTACCTATTCTTTTCTGCCTAGAAACTCAGGGTACAATAAGGATCGTATTCTGTATAACAATTGAAAATAAAATTTTTAATACAAAGGATATTTTTAGACATGTACACTGCTTTAAAAATTATCACATTGTATAAAAGGGGTGGTAATTTTTTAACTATTCACTCATCTAAAATATTGTTTACTAAACTAAAGATTAGTATTATACGGGAATAAATAGGTAGATAAATAAGTTAATAAAGTGCTTATCTATAAGCATGAAGACCTAATTTTCATTCCCAAACAAACATGATGAAAACAAAACACACAAACAAAGAACCTTGGGCATCATAGTCTGTCCTTGTAATCCAGTATTAATGAAGCAGAGACAGGAGGAAACCTGGGCATCTGTGGTCACCACCTACGTTGTGGGCTGGGCCAGTGAAAGACCCTGGGTTGTTCAGTGGTGCTGTCATGAGGACAAATCACACCATACAATAAACTCTCAAGTTTGAGGTTTATTAGCAAAAGGGAAGGGTTGGGAGGGGAATGAGCAGAATTTGATTTTAAAGGAGGTTTAGTGCATGTGCACAGAGACTGCCCAGCGATGAAGCACACACACACTGACTAGGTGTCGGTCGTAGGATCTTGGGCTGTCCAGGCATCTGCCTGAATGCTGACAATGCATATACACAGGGGATGCTTTTAGCGACGACAGCTGAAGACCCTGAGGGCAGGCTAGTTTGATGCCTGAAATGCTAGCAAGCACATGAACATAAGGAGTAGGTGTGGTTGATGATGTATTCTGTTAGGACCCATAGAGTCAGGATAGCATAATGCTAACACGTCTCAAAGGAGATCAATGATTTGAGGATGAAACCCAAAGTTGTCCCTTAGCATCTGTGCGCGCGCACACACACACACACACACACACGCGCGCGCGCGCGCGCGCGCACACACACACACACACACACACACACACAAATCACACAGTGAGAAAGAGAGAGAGCACACAACAGAACTACTGTTGTTGGGCAGGGTGGTGCATACCTCTCCTTTATATATTTTTTTTAATTTGGGTTTTGATTTGCTAGGGAGGTTGCAAGGGCAGAGGGCAGATGTAACAAATCTAAACAAAACTTAAAAGAAAAGAAGAATGTTACTGTGAAAGCTGTAGTGTACAATGGTAAATCATACAGTTCGCCATTTAGTCCATTCGTCTTTATTGCAAGTGTTCACTGCCATGAGTCATTGGTCTCGCTGGAGGCCTCTGGTTTCCTGCGATACCACCAATAATGGTCTGTCACTGGGGTTACTCTTGAATATGCTGGTTTTCTGTGTCATAGAGATCCAGCCACTTCACCTGCTCAAACAATTCATAGATGAGGTGGATGCTGGGTGGTAGCTTTGCCTCATCCTCATGACCTGGTCAAGCTCTCCAGCACTGCCTTGGCTATCTCACCCAATGTAAGACACAGCAAGGAGTGGATACAGGGCCCATTCTTCTGTATGCTGTAGCTGGTGTAGGGCAAGGCTAGTTCTCTCACTCTGGCCCTGCGACCAGCTCTCTCACCTGCCACAGATAGGAAGGGATGGAAGGGGAGGGCATCTTTTCCTCACCATGCTACCACTTGGCAGAAAAGGGATGGCAGGGTCAGCATCCTGTCTTCTTCTCATGCCCTCAGGGCTGGCTCGCCTGCATGCCCAGCAACAAGGTATCAATAGTGTACAGTCCAGACAGGAAGCAGAGCCACTACTTGAGGCAATTTCTTACCTTATTTTTAAATTTTTTTATTTATTTACATTTTTTAAATCTATATTTTCTCATTTTACATTCCAATCCCAGTTCCCACTCCCTCTCCTCCTCCTGCTTCCTCCACTTTTCCCCACCCCCCCACTCATCAGAGAGGGTAAGTTTCTCCATGGAAAGTCAACAAAGTCTAACACATTGCTTTGAGGCAAGACCAAGGTCCTCCCCATTATATCTAGGCTGAACAAGGTATCCCTCTAAAAAGAATAGGATCCAAAAGGTTAATACAACCAGTAGGAATAAATTCTGCTCTCACTGCCAGTGGCACCACAGTCTGCAACACCATATAACTTTCAGCCACATTCAGATGCCCTAGTTTGGTCCTATGCTGGTCTCCTCATTGTCTGGCTGGAGTAAATGAGCTCTCACTAGCTCAGGTCAGCTGTTTTAGTAAATATCCCCATCATGGTCTTGACCCCTTTGCTAATATCACTGCTCCCTCTCTTTGACTGGACTTTGGGAGCTCACCCCAGTGTTCCGCTTTGGACCTCTGTATCTGCTTTCATCAGTTTGGATGGACTAGAAAAATCCATCCTGAGTGTGGTAACCAGAGCCAGAAAGATGAGCATGATAAGTATTCACTCATAAGTAGATATTAGATGTAAAGGATAACAAGCCTTTAGCCCATGACCCCAGAGAAGCTCGGTAACAAGGAGAACCCTAAAAGAAATACATTCCTGGAAAGGGGAAATAGAAAAGAGCTCCTGAGAAATTTGGGAGCATGGGGGAAGTGGTGAAGTGAGAAGGGGAGGAGAGAAGAAAGGGATAGGGATAGAAGAACTTGAGGGAATTGGATGGTCGAGATGGGGGAAGGACAGGGAGGGAGCTCAAGGAAACAGGTATATTGATTGAAGGAGCTATGGGTCCTTAGCAAGAAATGTGGCACTATAGAAATTCCCAGGAACCTGCAGGATGACCCCAATTAAGAGTCTAAGCAAATGTGAAGAGAGTGACTGAACTGGTGTTGCCCTGTAGTTAGATTGATGACTATCTTAAATGTTATCATAGAACCTTCATACCTTATTATATAATATAAGGCTAATCTAACTACATATCCTCAAGTCAGAAATCTGAACTTCAACTTGAACTTGCAGTTACTGATGGCACGTTGTCCTCCTAAAATTATGTTGAAGCCCTCACCCCCAAGGTAACTATATGTAGACAGAGCCCTTTGAAGGTACTTAGGTTAAGGTAATATCATGAACATAGGACCCTCCTTATAGCATGTTCTATAGTATAGGTAGAGGTGCTGAAGAGATGGCTCAGCAGTTAAGAGCACTTGCTGATTTTCCAGAGGTTTCAATTTCTTTGATCTATGCCAGGTGACTCAGAATTGCCAGTGTCTAATGCTCCAGGGTGATCTGACACCTCTGGCCTCTACTATGTCACATGACCACACAGAGTCACATAACTAAAAATGAGTCTTAAATAAATTAAAAAACAAAACAAACAAACAAACAAAATAAAAAAAAAAGATTAGACTCCAGGGACCTTGCTTACTCTTCATCTCTCCTAGCATCTAAAACAGTGGTTCTCAACCTGTGGGTTACAGCCCATTTAACAAACCTCTATCTCCAAATTTATTACATTATCACTATCATATCATATCACTACCAAAACAGTAGCAAAGTTAGCATTAAGAAGTACCAATGACAATAATTTTATGATGGGGGTTACCACACATGAGGAACTGCATCAAAAGGTCTCAGCATTATGAAATTTGAGAACTGATGCTCTAAAAACACAACCAGAAGAAATCCATTCCTGA